ACTATATCTGTACACATGGACCCACTGCACCTGCATACATGGACCCATTACACCTGCACAGGTAGACCCACTGCACCTGACTGCAGTTGCACACACATGGACCCACTGCACCTGAGCACACATAGACCCACTGTATCTGCACACATGGACCCACTACACCTGACTGCACACGTGGACCCACTGCACCTGACTGCACATGTGGACCCACTGTATCTGCACACGTGGACCCACTGTATCTGCACACATGGACCCACTGCACCTGACTGCACACGTGGACCCACTGTATCTGCACACGTGGACCCACTGCACCTGACTGCACCTGCACTTTTGCATGACATCACTGTTACTGTAATAAAAAGTATAAACACATCACACTTCCCCAAGCGCAGGACAAATGGCACTAACCAGCCACTGCAATCTGAAGAAAAAGATCTGACTTAAGACAACACCACGTCTGTCCAACTAGATGTCCATGGGAGAGAGCTGCCGCCGCCACATGCCTTGCACATGATAGGCACTCAATAAATGTTTGATGACTTGCAAGATAGCCGCCTGCCTCTGCATCCAGGCTCCATGTAGATGGAGGGGCAGCATGGCCAGAGGGGCTGGCTTCAGACTCCACTGAAGCAGTGGTGGGGAAGAAGAGCTGAAGGGCTCTTACAACATTGAATGCGCTTACTCAAACGGCCTCGTTGAAATCGTTAGAGCTTTAATAATACTTCAAGTCAACAAACACATATTGAGTGCCTACTGTGTACCAGAGCCGGTGTGAGGTATACAGGGGTAGATACAAGATGAGAGGATCTCTGTTCTCTAAGAACACTCAGTCTAGTTAGAACAGGAAGCTGATTATGTAATGGGTTATTAGCACAAACATTATAAGCTAAAGTAGAGACGGGAGTGAGGCTCTGGGAATAAGAAGGAAGAACTACATGGCCTCGAGACTGAGCAGCAGTGTAGGAAGACAGCACAGTGCTGCACTGTGCACAGCTCAGAGCCAGAAATGCTGGGAAATCAGAACAGCGCACAAGGGTGTGAGTGAAGAGAGACGAAGAACCTAGCTGCTGCCTGCCCAGATATACCAGGGCCTTGGGGAAAGGGTGGTAACTATGGCAGCGCAGCAGTCGGGGGTGGAGTTAGGCTGGGCCAATGGACATCTGGGCAAGAGATAATGAAAAGTCAAGGTAAGTGTCCCTGAGGAGAGAAAGACAGGTCAGATTCAGAGACAGGATCTGGTGGCTGTGGGTGAGGGAGGCAGGGTGCTTCTGGGCTGGAGTCTGGGAGAGGCAAGGGTAGTGGCCACCACAGGAAGGACAGGAGGGCAGCAGGGAGGGGGGCTGGGGCATGTTAAGCCTGCAGTGTCTGTGGACATCCGGGGGAGATGCCCAGCAGGCATCTGCTGCCCACTCCACTTACAGCATGTGTGGACGCCACAGTTCTTCAGGGTCTGATTCTCTTCAGCTTTTAAGAGTCTTTGGTCTCAGGTTCCTGCCTAAGCTGTGCTCAGCTCTCTACCTCACTCTGCCAAAGAGGGACACAGCAGAATCAAGATTTTGAGCCGTTGGGAACAAGGGACTAGCTCACGCGAGGCAACCTCTAAGTATGGAAACTGCTTTGGAACCACTGGCTTGGTCGATGCCACCATTTCCACTCCGCCATCACCATCCTCACGGTCACTGGGCGGCTGTCATTTTAGCTGCTCCCAACAGCTCAAGGTAAAGAGCTTAAAATGTACTTAAGACTTGGACAAAACAAATGGAAAGTTCTTGCTGTTGTACGCCAAGGGCTAGATCCACCACAGTGTACAAGTGTGACATGCCTGGCTGGGTATGGTGGCACTCATGGGAAGTCAGCATACGAGAAAGCTGAGGCAGGAGAGTAACTGAAGACTAGCTCAAGCTGCGGTCAAACCCTTTCTTTGACAAATTACATACATAAAAGGTTATAAGATGTTTAATATCTTTCCATGAAAAGTTCTTGTAAAATAAAAAGTCACCTGCTTAGTTAATTTCTAGACTGTCATTGGCCTGAGCAGACCCACTTTATGGTGTGACATGAGCTCAAGCCCACTGCTGAGTCTAATGCTGTGTGTCTGCAGACACCAGGGGTCACTCTTTCGGTACATAATTCACAAAACCTTCGTCTACACCTCACGAGGATGCGGGTGGGACAAGAGGGATTCAGTGCAACCTGTGACCTGCTTGGACAGATAAACCACCATAAAAGAGCTCCCTCCACTTGGCCCACTGTCCCGTGTATGCCGACTCAGCACAGCAGGAGGGACCCAGTGACCTGGGAAGACCCACTTACTGAAGGACTTCGAATGCTCAGTCAAAGCAGCTCCCAGGCTCTTGTGGAGATCTGGATAAAGTAAATCAGTCTCCCTCTTTGAGCCTGTTTTAGAAGACTGCCCCTGTGCCTGTGCCCAGCTCCACCTCACAAAGAGTACATTTGCTGGTATATGCTTTCCTTTAAGAAGTACTCATACTATAGACTAGATGGTCTTTTCCATGGGCCCCGAGGCTGTCTCTGTACAGCACGGTTGGAGGCTGTGAGAAAAGATACAGAATGGAAGGGAGCTGGCAAGTGGGTGGGCACAGCCCAGTGTGAGTCCTGTACCCTCACGGGCAGCCCCATGCCTACAAGGAAGTCTTTCTCTCAGACATCCCAGGCACTTGTACATAGAATGTGAAGAATACATAGAGAACCGGCAAATTCTTTGTCTTTTGATTTTCACTTTGAAGGGGAGTTCTTACAAAGCCATCTATAAAACATTGATTACATTGTTCCTAATAAAATCATTGTAATACTTATCTCATGGGATGCTACCAAGCTCTGGGGGGTACTTTGGGAGGAGACAGAAGGTTGTGCCTACTTTATGGATATGCAAGAAGCTCGGCTACATGTCTAGCAGGTGGTTAGGGCTCAGAGCAAGGGCACAGGCTCTTTCAGGCTTCTCTGGATGGCCCGTGATGGCTAACACAGGTGGCTGTTACAGGTGCTATCACTACATCACGCTGTGTAGGAACTGGTCACAAACCAGTTTCAGAGCTGTGCATGGCCAGATGCAAAGATGAGCAGCTAGTGGACAGAACATGTGCGCACAGGACCGTGTGCATGGCAGAACTATGTGTGATGAGATGCTCCTTCCTCTTGCCTGAGACACGTCCCATCCTGGGCTGCTAACATTAGTCAGTCTCCAACACTCAAGGCCATCATCTCTGCACAGGATGGCTTTGCCAGACAGTGTGGTCTCCAACAAGGGACTGGCTATGCATAACTCTCAGGCCAGCCCACCTTCCATCTTGTGTCTTAGATTACCCTGTACAGGGAACCAGCAGTACCTGTGGCCTTGTCGGTACTGTGGCTCAGGCAGGGGAGGTAGCAACTCTGTGATCCCTGGCTACTGGCACAGCCTGCAGCAGAGCAGGGTCCCCACAGATACACAAGGATGTGGGGGGAGCACCTGGGAGGAAGTACACACACACACACACACATACACACTGCTAAGAAGCCAGCGACACCATTCTGAGATGCATCGGATCAGTTCCGCTAAGTCCCCCTCCCCACAAGCGAGGTGGGCACAGCGGCGCAGGCGCGGGCAGCACAGCTTCACCTTCAGAAGTCCTCTGTGAAAGAAAGTTAGGCCTTTGTACAGCATGGCTGTGGGCTGGTTTCTGTTCAGCTCCAAGGACTGCTGAAAGTCCTCGTGGGCTGTCGCGTAGTCCTATGGGAAGGAGGAGGAGAGATAAGATTGTGTTTGTTAGAATCTGGAATGTTCTCTGCTGTGGATGGACAGAGGGAAGACCTCAGTGGGTCCTGTGCCCTTCTTGGCCTTGAAGGAAATGCCAATGGTGAAGGGGTCCAGCCAAACTAGTACTTCTCGCCCTGCTAACCGCTAACTGGTGTTCACAGAGGCTTGATGTTAGTTAGGCCTTCATCTCAGCCTTTCCAGGACCAATCAGAGCATCTTTTCCACACTGGACACCTCTGAAATAAAGAGGCTGTGGTACAGCCTCACTGTGTGTGGTGCGGCCTCAGTGTGTGTTAAGCTGAAGCTCTGGTCTACTCGTGCACGGGTAAAGTACTGCGAGCTCACAGACACTGGTGGTCACGGAGCCACTGTCACAAAAACAGACTCTTGATGGATTCAGGCCACCTAAAAAGAAGGGTCTGGAGGCCTGACATGTTCAGACTACAGCTATCCGACTCAGAACGAGATGAGTTCAAGTTGTACCTCCAAGTAGAGGCGACAAACCAAACTGCAGCCTTTCATGCCAGTCTAGAATCTGACGCTGCTGACTGCCCGAACGTGGAACCACAACTGGCTCTTATTAGTCTCTGTTGCGTTTAATTTCTGCCAAAGACAGTGATCTCTCTCTCGGCTGCCTTGTAGCACTGACATTTAACTGAACCCAATCTAGCAGGGAGGGGCTGCTGAGATGACAAGAGTGTGAGGTGTGGACCAATCTTTATGGGGCAATCACCTCAGATATGAAGTACAAGGTCCCCCGGTGTCGGTACAGCCGTGCCGACGGCTGAAGCTGAATAGCTTTAGTGAGATCGTTTACGGCTTCATTAATTCGTCCCAGAGGGGACAGAATCTAGAAATCCAAAACATGCAATCAGGAAAAATTCCCAGGACCAGCCCTACACTGTCAGCGTTTTAACTTTCCCATTCCACTGAGCCGCACGCCACTCACAAAGCTCACTGTAGCAGGCTGTGAGCCACGGCCTCATGCACGCACAGGCAGATGCTCAGAGGGGCCACTATCTCTGTTTAGCAAGGGGAGACGGGGATGCGGCTCTAGCAGCCGCTTTGCTACTGACTCCACCCTGGGCAACACCAGAGTCTTGACATAAGAACCCTTTGCTTTCGTTCACTTTTTAAGTAAAACGCTGGCACATGCACATTCAACCGCTGGGACAGACAGACGAGTCCCTGGAGGTTACAATCCTCCATGGTCTCTAGCTCCTCTCCCTGCGGGAGTAAGAGCTGAAGGATACTTCCTAGGACCCCAGGTGCCTTGTCAGCCCCAAGCTCGTCAATCACACGCAGCATCATCACGGGGAAATTGTCTGCCTGTTTGAGACACTCCTAGAGCCATCATGGAGTCACTGTGGTTCAGGCAGCATGACAACACAGATGGGAGTCCAGCACCCAGAAGGAAGTCACCAAGAGAGAAGGAAACCCCAGTGGGCCCCTGTATCCATGCACCTGACCCCACTCTGTCCAGCATGCTCTAGGGAAAGGCATGTTGTTCACCCCGTGTCACTAACTGGTCACCTGCTCTGCAAGAGCTTAGCACAGCCTCAGGTGGGCCCACCCCAAACATTAGCAGCGGCTTCCAAAGCAGAAAGAGAAGGACACATGGTCATCCCAGGAAGGGGCGGGGTTACCACTTGGAATGAAGAGTGCTCTTCTCTGCTTACTGACCCCTAGGTAAAAACTATCACATCTTGGCACGACTGTCAATGTCTGCAGTCATGGGTTAATATATTTTCATAAAACGCACATTATTTGTATTATTTGTATTTGCAAGGGCGAAGTGTCCTTTGAATTAACTCTAAGGCAGATGAAGGCAGGCGGGAAATGAGCTGTGAAGCGCATGTTGCAATGACTGCTGTAACTGTCATAAATATTGCTACGTTGTATCATTTAGATAATAGAAAATTGCTGTTCTAATCACCAATGGCATTCTAGATAAGCAATTAGCTTCTTGTTAGATGTGCAAATAGTTTAAATCTGCAAGTCTTAGCTGAATCCCTAGTTTATCAGAATCATGTCAGGCATCCCCAGAGTCCTGAGAGAAATACCAGCAAGCCCATCCAGAGCTGGTGGGACATACTAGCCAGCCCAGCCACTATTCAAGAGCCTCTTGCTGTGGGGACAGTAATACAGACACCTAGCCCAAGGGCAAGACCCAAGATGGACAGGCAAGGAACTAAATCACTGAGAAAAATTAGATTAAAACCAAGTCCCCAACACGACATAAAATTCTTTGGGACCTAGATCTCAAATGCGACAACCTAAGGACAAGGCCTCTAGATGTAGTCTCAGACTGACTGAGCACTGTGTTCCTGTACTTGCTATATTTCCTGGGGGCCGAGGGCAGAAGAAGTCAACCCGTATCAAACAACCGACTGCATTTACACCGACCACAGGAGCACATGTGACCCGACAGCTCAGCACCACTGTAAGAACACGGATTTAAAACCACAAATGGAGTCCTGGCTCTCTCCTGCTCCTGCTGTTTGCAAGCCTCACCCCCACGGGCCTGGCACACTCGCTCAGCTTCTGTGCAGGCCGTCTACCGGTGTCCACCCAGCAGATGCTACAGGCACTCCCCCAGGCCTGTCTCCACCTTGAGATCTGCAGCAAACCTACCTGTTGTAGGTGTGTACGGAGGCAGGTCCCCCGCCCAGGAACTACACATGAACACACTCTGCTCGTTCCCTCACTCTCTCCCCTCCCTTCCAGACCAGTGGGACCACTGCCTCTAAGAGCTACGTATTTCAGGATCTCCAACCCACTAGCCGCTTTGGTTAAACTGTGTCGCTTATATCTGCAATATGGTGTGCGGTATCTCTTTAAGGAGTATCCACGGAAGAAGCAGACAACATGAGCACGCGTTCACACTAAGCACTGTTCTCGTTCGTTACTTCAGTGGGCATCACTCACTCCACAGCTGTTGGGTAACTGCCACCATGCTCACAGGCCTTGAGGACGTAACTCAACATTAGAGGAACATGAAAAGTTATAACGGAAGTGATATAATATCAGCTTCTGAATTTCAGCTAATTCAATAAGAGAAGGAAAAAGAAAACCACACTCACTTCAGCTCGCTGCTCAAATACCTCTGGACGGTCAGGTTCCAAGGCAATTACTCGGCTCAGTTCAAACAAAGCAAGCTCAGCGTTCTTAATGTCCTTGAAAAGGTATTAGCTTAGTATGAGACACACTGCTGCTCGGACAGTGGCAAGATCTTCTGAGACACTGGCGGTGCAGTCGCCAGAGAAGCCGCTGCTCGGAGACGAACACAAACTTGGGGTCTGTGCCAATGTTCTGCCAGGTCTGCTCAGGGATTACACCCAAGTCTCCCCACCCCACGGGGTGGCAAGCTGAACCTGGATGCTTACCACAAGCTCACAGAGGGCAGACAGTATCTAAACATAACCTAGATCATCTTCAGGGTGAGCACATGGATGCCAACCTGGGAAATGGCACCCACCAGTTTTCTGTCAGACAGGGACAGGAAAACGCCAAGTGTCGATCAAAACCATGAACCCAGAACCTATCTGACCAGTCTTGCTAAGTTCTCTTCAGCATGCTGATTTTATGCTTAAAAATGCACATTTAATTCTACGCTAAAGACAAAAACAAGTTACAGGTTGAACTGCAAAATTTAGACAGATGGGGGCAGTAAGCACCAGTTATCTGAGGCGACTTATGACCAAAACGGTCTTGTACCTCAACACCATGGTTACCAAGGCTGAGTTCATCTGGGTCCCCTGTGTCTCAGAAGGATATAGTAACTGTCATATCCATTTTCTCCAAGCCAATACCAGCTTAGTAGGATTTTTATACTTTCATACATTTTAATTAAAATATTTAATAAAATGTTAAATACTTGATGTTTTCAATGTAAATATTCCAAAAAATGATAGTTCTCCCTCTGCTAAGTATTATCTCATATGACAGTCTGCTCTACGTGTGCTGATCTTAAGGGCACCCCTGACTCACTGAACACTCTGGGGCAAGAGCTCTTACGGCACTCTAATGACAGGGCTCACTGCCGCCTCCACCACCTTTCTCAGGGGAATAAAGGGAATGACTTAACTGTGGCTATGAAGACTTATCCCTATTTGCAAAACGCCTAAAATGTAGCAAATAAAAATAAATGTCACAGCTAGGCATGGTGGCTCACGCCTTTGATCCCAGCGCTGGGAGGCAGAGGAAGGTGGATCTCTGTGATTTTGAGGCCAGCCTGGTCTACAGAGTGAGTTCTGGGACAGAAGGGGATTCAGGGAAAACCCCTGTCTTGGGAAAATAATAATAATAAATGTCACATGGTTAAAAAAACGCTCTTTCATCCCACCTGCCGCACTGTAAAAGGACCCCAGGCCATAGATACCACTGTGACAACATATCCCTGTCTCAGCATGGCTGGGGAATGTCCTGGAAACACAGATCTCTGGCTTTTCCTGTGGCCAGCTCATCACTGACTTGGAAGACACAGGGGAGCCTGGTCGCCCACCTTCTAGCCATGGCACCTGGGGTGATCAACCACCCTTCTTTCTCCTGTGTCCTGGCAGAGCTGACTGAATGAGAAGCAGTTCAGACAAAGGCTTGGGTGCGGCAAGCCACGTGGGCGCAGTGGCAAGCGTGACTAGTACATACTCACATGTAGTCCCTTCTTTCCATAGGCCATCCCTCGGCCATAAATTGCACTAACCAGATCAGGCTCCTCCTAGTCAGACCAAAACAGAAACACGTCAAAAACTAGAAACAAACAAAACAAAACAAGAGTCAGTTTCTGCTTAAACCTATTAATACTTCAAGAGACAGCTCTGTATCTTTACACTACTGTGACCCTAGGTGACGCTGCAGTCCCAGATCTGAAACCTGTCACCACAAAAGCTCACTGAGGAGACATGCTGAGGAGGACGTAACTGCACTGGAGGGAAAGAGGGGAGGGATCTAGCAAAGCCGAGGTATCTCACTGCATAAACGGCCTCCTCAGCCTCAATGTGACTGGCACAGAAGCAACCACATCTCACAGAGGACCTGGGAGCTCAGGAATCAGGGAGGTGTGAGCAGGTGATATCCTCATGCCCATCCATGCTGCCTTGCATAAACCCATGACTTAACCTGATGAGGTAAAGCCCCCAGCCATGGGGAGGGCAGCACTGCACTCCAGAGTGTGCTGAGGAGCCATGGGGATAAGACATCTGACTCGGTCGCCTGCTTTCCCATTCTGTCCACTACTGCCTGCATGCCATCCCTCCACAGAGGCCCTGTCGCCACCCTAGAGGTGTGACCTCTCCTCTGGGCGGGTGGAAGGAATGCCTGCTTAAGGTGAGCCTCTGCCTCAGTCACCTCCGTTCTGGATGCTTTGCTACAAGGTCTTGATCCAACTTGAAGAGCTGCAGGGAACCACCCTGGGCTGGGCTGCTCAGCTTCTGAACTGAGGCCTGTGTCTGCCCACACTACTGACAAAAAGCATGTCCACACCCGTGCAGGTGAATGCAGACAGATGAAGGGGAAGACACCATGCACGCAATTCTTAGAGCTGCTTACACAGGATGAGGACCTGTGGTCCAGGGGCCCAGAAAGCAGTCTGACACACTACTCAAAAAGTCACAGAAACTCAGCCCCAATAACTGTCCTGCTGGTTTCTCCTGAGACCGCCAGAGAGATAACAACGTCAGGCCTATGATCAGAGCGGTGGGGAGGGCAGGTAGGAGAATAGTGAGTTTGAGGCTAACCTGAGGTCCTAACCCAAAAACAATTGCGACCCAAAAGACCTGCAGAGAGAAGCAACAAGAACAGGCCAGACTCTGGTGATCTCCCGTGGCAGAAACCTGCGTGGGTCCCTCCTGG